TCTTGAAAGAGAAAGAGTCCAAGAGAAGAGAATAATTGAAAGTGTTTCAGTGGAAAATACGAAACTTAAAGAACTAAGGTGAGCTTGGTGGGGGAGTACGTTCCACGTGCACAAATTCACTCTTTGAATTATCATTATTTGGGGGTTCCAGATTAAGAGATTTCAATTTTTTCTAGCACCATAATTGCTACTTAACAAACTCTCCTTATTTTCGATAATAAAATTAAAAAAAAACGGACTCGGACTCTTTAATATAAGCTTAGATCATATGAGTAAAATTATTCAAAGTCATAACATAAGGAATGACATTTTTTTTCTTATGTCTACGTTTATGGTTATGTCAAACATGTGAATCTAAGGAATATAATGCATTAACATTAAAATAATGTTATGACGTTTAAATCGGAGGTCCCGTCTCTCTACACTTCTCATTAGCATCAGAGGGACGTTAAAGAACCCACACTATTCGACTAAGAGTAGGGCACGGAGTTCCCAGTGGTGTGGCCAGGGCTCATCTCACCAGCATTGAGGTCGGCTTGGCGTAGTGTTCGTATAAAGGTTACTAGTCAATGAGACCTCATACTAATATACAGCTAGTAACCCAATGAACGTTGCCAAGTGCTGGAACTATGTAGATGTAGATGTAGATGTATGTATTTTACAATATCAATACGCCTTTTTCCATTTCAAAGCAAACAACTGCTGATTTACATGTAGTTGACAACAGTCTCTCGTGCGCAGAGACCTTACAAAAAACAAAAGAAAGCATGAAAAAATGTTGTCATTACAATAGTGCTAATCCTTTATTCCCAGAAGGTTCAACATCTTGCTCAGGTTAAGCCTTGATTCGGAGAAGATTCAAATTTCTAGAGCTATTGTAATGTCAACATTTTTTCATACTTTCTCTTGTCCTCTACGCAAGTGAGTCTGTTGTTTACTAAAACAGCGGTCGCTCGCATTGAACTGAAAAAAGACTTATTGCTGCTATTTCTTCATACTGTTTATGTTGTGCGTGCTTGGTGCATATCAAATGTCCTCATTACAATTTGTAGGAGAGAAAGATTGGAAATTGAAGAATGGACTAGAAGATTTAAGAAGATGAGACGAGAAGCTAAACACTTGGAACACCAAGAGAGACTTCGGGAGATGAGAGTTGAGATGGTTAAACAAGCTATTGTAAGAAAATTCACTTTTGTTGTACT